TTCCTTTTCAAATCTTCTTCCATAGCTGAGTCTATGGTTCCCATGCACTAGATTTTTTTTTTTAGCAGAAATTTAGCTTTAGTGTTTTTCTCAGGACAAACACTGTCAGGTTTATTTTAATATTCAAGTTTCACAGAGTACAGTGGGAGACTCCATTACTGAAACTCTTTGATTCTTTTTCTTGACATATGCATTAGTACCAAAGTGGTTGAACACAGAGATAATCTGTCTTTATAGCCTAATGCTATTTTTTGCATAAATCTTTCAACAGTATGTGGTCAGAATGGCTTTCCCTCCTCTGAGGCGATGTCATAGTGAACTGTGGCTTAGGCTGTTAGATCGGCAACTATGTTTCCAGCAAACAACAAAAAACAAAAGTAAAAACGACCCCAACCCCTTTGGATTTGGAAAGAGATACCTTGAAGTAAGTCCAATTTTATTAGTAGTAGAAATAATAGAAATTTATATAGAATCTTAAAGTTTGCAAACAGAAGCTCTTCAAAGGAGAGACCATGGGTAGTATAATCCCTATTTTACACATAAAGAAACTGAGCCCAAGTGAAGTTAAGCAATTTTGCTCAGGAATAGTAAGTAACAGAGGTAAGATTTTTTTAAAAAAATAATTTCAGAACTTTTTTTATTCTTAACTTGGAAAACACTAGCAAATATGAACATTTCCCTTTACAGAGTACTGTACATGAAACCATGAATCTCTGTTATTCACTGCTCCTTTTTAAAGTACATGACATTGAATATGTTAGTTCCAAAGCTGTTCCATTAATCTGTTTCATTCTGAATTTCCTTGGGTTGTGTACACTTTTAAAAAATCCTTCACTGATGTTCTTATCATCATTTTTTGTTCACTACTTCATTTACCCTCATCTCCCCTCCCACTCACAAATTTAACAAAACAAGAGCAAAACAACTTTCCCTGGCAGCCAAGCAAAATGATCCCTTGCATTGGCCATGTCTAAAAATGTATGACTTATTCTTCACAAGAGGTAAGATTTGAATCTAGGTCTTTCTAACTCCAGGTTCAACAATCTATCCACTACTTAAAAATGCCTCCTAGTATAAATATAGCAATATCACATCCTGTTAAGTACTTTACAGATCTTTTGATTCTTTTCCTCATGTTCTCTGGTCAGGACAACACAGAGTTCCTGGGCATATGCAATGTCTTTCATATTCAGTTCCAGCATTTGGTCTGAATTGATTCCTTGTTTCTCAATTGCATCCATTTTGGAATCAAGATTAATAACCTGCTTGGTCAGTTTTGTCTACCCTGGAAGCTGGAAGGTTTTTTTTTTTTTTTTATTGTGCCCTGACATTCTTTTCATCAGTTTTCTCTAAATGTTCCAGGAGTGAGGTCAGGGGTGGCTCTAGTGACAGGGGTGGAGATCTGCCTCCAGACCTCTCTTTTATTTTTATTTATTTTCTTTCTTTTTCAGGGATTTCCCTTCTCAAGAAAGGGGGCCCTTGGTGCTGGGGCAATTTGGGCAAAGCTGTCATCAGCTCAGAAGTAAGATAGAGTGTCTTACAGCAAACATGCTGACAGGAAAGACACAATTTCCAGTTGTGGCATCTGTCAGTGGCCTGGGGGCACCCCGGTCTTTGGAAAGTCAACCTACTTATGCTGCTGCAGCATTCCCTATAACTGGGCTGTTAGTAAGCTGCTTGACTAGGTGCACCTGGGGCTTTGTCCCCGTGGTGACTGTGATTCAAGCAGCTAACACAGCAGTCTTCATTTAGTCTAACATTTAGTCAGTCAATAAGAAATTATTAAGTGTTAACTGTGTCCAAGGCACTGTAATAAGGTGTGGGGATAGAAAGGCAAAAAACAGTCCCTTCTCCCTTGGAAGTCAGTCTAATGGGGGAGTCAATATACAAACAACTAGGGTATGACTGGTCAAGTCACTTATTTTTTCTTGGCCTCAGTTTCTTATTTGTAAAATGAAGAGGTTGGACTAGATGGTCTCCCTGGTCTCTTTGAACTCTAAATGGATGATCCTATGATCTGTGTGTGGCCTTAGGCAAATCATCTAGCCTCCCTGGGCCTCAATCTCCTTATTTTTAAAATGAAGAGGTTGAGATCTCTCCCAGCTCTGTATTTCTGTTGCTATGATCTTTCCTACCTTAGAGGAGCTTATTAGTTGATCAACAGGTATTTATTAAATCAATCCACAATCAATCAAAACCTTTATCAAACTCCTACTCTGTGCTAGGCACAGAAGTATAAAGAATGAAGCAATCTCTGCTTATGATGCACTTACATTTTAATAGGGGAAACCGGTGCACATAAAAACCATATACAGCATAAATATAAATTAATACATATTTTATCTATGCCACTGGTTACATATCTATATCTGTATCAGGGGCTCTTAACCTTTTTTGCATCATGGACCTCTTTGGCAATCTAGTGAAGGCAATAGACTACTTCTTGGAATAATGTTTTTATTTTTTATTTTAATTAATTTATTTTGATTTATCAATAATCACTTCCACATGCTTTTGAGTTTAAAAATTTTTCCCCCTTCCTCCCCACCACCCTCCCCAAGACGGCACACAATCTGACATAGGCTATACATTTACATTCTTATTAAACATATTTTCACATTAGTGATATTGTAAGTAAAAATTAAAACCAATAGGAGGAACCATTAGAAAGAGGAAACAAAACTCAACAGAAGAGAAAAAAATAGCAATTCAACTTCCATAGTTCTTTCTTTGGATGTGGACAGCATTTTCCATCACAAGGCCTTTGGAGATGTGTTAGATCCTTGTATTGCTGAGAAGAGTTAAGCTTATCACTATTCGTCATCGAACAACGTGGCTGTTATTGTGTACAACATTCTCTTGGTTCTGCTCACTTCACTCAGCATCAGACCATACAAGTCTTTACAGGTTTTTCTGAAGTCAGCCTGTTCATCATTTCTTATAGCACAATAGTATTCCATTACATTCATATACCACAACTTGCTCAGCCATTCCCCAGTTGATGGACATCCTCTCAATTTCCAATTCTTTGACACCACAGAAAGAGCTGCTATGAATATTTTTGTACACATGGGTCCTTTTCCCTTTTGTATGATCGCTTTGGGATACAGTCCTAGAAGTGCTACTGCTGGGTCAAAGGGTATGCACATTTTTATAGCCCTTTGGGCACAGTTCCAAAGTGCTCTCCAAAACGGTTGGATCATTTCACAATTCCACCAACAATGCATTAGTGTTCCAATTTTCCCACATCTTCTCCAACATTTACCATTTTCCTGTTTTGTCATGTTGGCCAATCTGATAGGTGTGACGTGGTACCTCAGAGTTTTGTTTTGATTTGCATTTCTCTAATCAATAGTGATTTAGAGGATTTTTTAATATGATTATAGATGGCTTTAATTTCTTCATCTGAGAACTGTCTGTTCATATCCTTTGACCATTTATCAATTGGGGAATGGCTTGTAGTCTTATATAAATTTGACATAATTCTCTATATATTTTAGAAATGTGGCCCTTATTAGAGAGACTTCTTGTAAAAACTCTTTCCCAATTTTCTACCTTCCTTCTAATCTTAGTTACATTGGCTTTGTGCAAAAACTTTTCAATTTAATGTAACCAAAATTATCCATTTTGCTTTTTATAATGTTCTCTATCTCCTGTTTGGTCATGAATTCTTCTGTTCTCCATAGATCTGCTTGGTAAACTATTCCTTGCTCTCCCAGTTTGCTTATGGTATCAGCCTTTATATCTAAATCATGAACCCATTTTGACTTTATTTTGGTATATGGTGTGAGATTTTGGTCTATGCCTAGTTTCTGCCTTACTCTTTTCCAGTTTTCCCAGCAGTTTTTTTTTTCCAAAGAGTAGGTTCTTATCCCAGCAGCTGGGGTCTTTGGATTTATCAAATAATAGATTACTATAGTCATTGACTACTGTGTCTTGCATATTTAACTTATTCCACTGATCCACCACTCTATTTCTTAGCCAGTACCAAGCAGTTTGTATGAAACATACATAGAATTACAAAAGAAAACCAATTTATTGAAATTGTTGTTGTTGTTCAATGGTTTTCACGCCAATATCATTTTCTCGGCATTCTTGGCAAAGACACTGTAGTGGTTTGCCATTCATTTCCTTCTCCGGTTCATTTTACAGATGAGGAAAGTGTGGCAAACAGGGTTAATTGACTTGCTCTGGGTCTCTCGGCCAGCAACTGTAAACTCAGGAAGATGAGAGCCCAGCACTCCATCCACAGCACCACCTAATTTTTCCATATACTGTAGTTATCAAAAAATCTGACAACAACAATTTCATACACTTGAGGTTAAGGACCCCTGACTGATAGCTATTTCTATATAGAAAGTAGTTAAATAAAAGGGAGTTGGGAGTTAGGAGTGTGGCTTCTGGGGTTGAGGAGGCCCAGCAAAGGCTTCCTTTGAAAGATGAACCTGGACTACCTTTTAAATGAAGAGAGAGACTCTACGAGGCAGATAAGTAAGGAAGTGCATTCCAGGCATGGGGAACGGCATGTGCAAAGGCACGATGATGGGAAACAGAGTTTTTTCCAATGACCTAACTGGTTCTCCCCAACATTCTGACCAATCAACACCTGCTCGGAAACTTACTTTCAACACAAAGTACACGGAGCGGGCCAGTTAGGAGTCTAGGCTGCCGTCTGGCTGCTGGCTAATTGGTTCGCGTGTCTGCTACAAACCGCATCCTTTGCTAGCACGCTCCCGGGTCCGCCGCCCGACAGCACCGTGCACTTAACAACCTGCCACATTCGGGCCAGTCCTAAGCCTGCTCACAACCTCCAGTCTCGGCTTCCCAGCACGCAAAGAGAACGTGGGTGAAGCTGGAGGTCCCGGACAGCCAAGCTGCCCCTCCCTCCACCTGTTACACTAGGGAGCCTAGGCCCCGCCCCTCTCGGGGCTCGATGGGGGCGGGGCGGCCGCAGCTCCAGGGCAGGGGGCGGGGAGCTGGGGCAGCAGCCGGAGTGAGCTGTGGTTGTGCTTGTGGATGTGGCGGCGGCCCCAGCGGCTCTGCTCAAGCTGGACTGGGGAGGGTGGCCTCTCCTCCGTGGACGGTGGGCTATAGGACTCAGCCACGACCCCCGACACCTCGATGTTCGCCCTGCGTACCCGCCGCAGCGCGATGATGCTCCACCGGTGAGTGTTGCCGAGCGCCCCTTTCTCCACCGCCGCAGTGGGGGAGGAGGCGCGCAGGGAACGGGCCCCACCCAGCTCCTTCTCCTCAGCCCCCTCTCCCCCTCCCCCCAGCCCCGTCCTCCCAGTCTCGGGGTCCCAGGCTGAGCGAGGGTCGCAGCCCCGGGGCGAGCTGTGCGGGCCTTCTCGGAACCCTCGGGGAACTTGTCCGCGAGTCGCCCTCCTCTGCTTGGCCCCGTGCGGTGCTGCCCGGGACGGCACGGGACCGGACGGGACGGAGCAGCAGGTGCGGGATCGGCTGGCCATCGAGGAGGCATCGGCCACAACTCCAGGCACACCCGTCCCCCGTCTCCTCCCTCCAGCCTCAACCATCTGGGCTCGAGGCTGGGCGATTCCCCCACCCCGGTGTCTCGGGGACCCTCGGCCGGGAGTGTCTCCTGCCCGCCGCTTCTCCGGCCCTCTCTGGTCCGGAAATAGAAGTCGGGGGCCCCGGCGTCCGCTGTGAGACTTGGGGTGGGGGAGTGGAGAAGGGGAACTGAGGGGCTCTGGTAGAACTCCATTGGGCAAACCCAACGCATGACCGCGGAGCCTCGTGCGCCCCTGCTTACCTTCCTCTTCCATTTCCTGGGTATGGAAATGAACCAGCTCCGCGAGCCACGCTGTTACCTGTCCAGGCTGGGTTGGGGGCGGTGTCGGCAGCATCCCTCTCCTTTCTTCCTTCTCCCCCTTTCTCCCTCTTCTTCCCTTTTCTTTCTCCTTTCTTTCCCTCTTTTCTTTTTTCCATTCCTTCCTTTTCTTTCTCTCTTTTTTCTTTCCGTTCTTCCTTTCCTCCTCCCTCCCTTTCCCACTTCTTACCTTTTTCCTTCCTACCTTCTTCCTTTCCTTTTCCTCCTTTCCTCTCCATTATTCCTTTCCTTAAGCCTTTCCTTCCTTCCGCCTTTCCTTCCGTCTTTCTTTCCTCTCTCCCCCCGTTTTCCTTCTCTCTTTCCCCCCTCTTTACTTCAGCCTCTCTCCTCCTCTATCCCCCATTTCTGTTTCTGAAGCCCCCTTGCTGCCCTCCAAAATACATTTCCATCCTGGTCTGGGGAACGATCTCTGGGGCGGCTTGGCGTGGAACAGGGAACCATGTTCGTCCACCCACACGTCTCCCTGTTAAGAGTAGGAGAGATTCTTAGCGGGAGTCGGGGTCGGGGGCGGGGAGCCGAGAGCTTCCTCTCGGTAAAAAACGTGCGAGGCTCCCACTGCCCGCCCGGGAGAGGAAGGTGGTGGTGCACGGGAGAGCTCTACTTTGCTTTGAAAATCATTATCGAAGAGCCGGTATGGTCGTGGTGAACTGAAATGTCACTTCGGCGCGTCCCCTACCCCATACCTAAACGTTTTGGGGCTGTGCACTTTGGATTATTTCATATTTGAGGGGAAGGGGCGGGGGGAGAAAGATTGCTAGCGCCAAGCCTCTCAAACTTTGTCTGGCATATCTCACGCAGTTAGAACCTACCTAGTTGGAAAAATGTGCTGAAAGAGCAGATTACTGAAATAACAGACTTTTTTTTTTCCCTAAGGAAGACATGGTGAGATGGAAGTGCACAGATGTTGATAGAAGATCGGGCTGTTTTACAACTTTGTTTGAATAGTTCATTTCTTAATGGGAAATATTTCCATCCTAAAGTGCCTGGGTTTTGGGGTTGTTTTTTTTTTCGGGGGGGGGGGGAAATACTGGTGACTCAAGTCATATCTAGAAAGCTGTAGGAAAAGCCATCCATAAAAGCAGAGCTGAAAGGGACTTGAGACGGTCGATTCAGTTTTACTGGGGGTGGAGGTGGGCCACTGAGGAGTTTAAGTGATTTATGCAGTCTCGTCATACCCTTAGTATCAGAATACGGATTTGTATTTTTGGCCCTAAACTAGAGTCTTTGTTCTCTCCTTAGTACCACATTGCCTCAGGTGAAGTTGATATTCTTATAGTGTGGTGTCCAGAGCACTGGATTCAGAGTTTAAGGGCCTAGGTTCAAGCCTTGGCTTACCCTGACTACTATCTGAGTGACCTTTGTTAAATCAGTCTCCCCTGGGTCCCCCTTCCCCTTAGTTTTTTAATCTGTGAGAATGAGTGCTTCCTAAATTTTGAACTAGAAGAGAGACACTTCAAAATCCTACAATTATGTTTCTGTAACAAGGCATTTTTGCATCTGTTCTACATTTTTGATATCTGCAATTCAATCAATTAACAGACATTTTAGGAAGCACGTAACTCAGAGGCAGGTACTTTGCTAAACTCTGGGGCTACCAAGAAAGGCAAAAACAGCTTCTGCCCTCTAGGAGCTTGCATTCTAATGAGGGAGACAGCATGGAAATAGAGAAATAACCTGTTTGATTTAGAAGTTAAAACATTACAGAAAAGGTAGTAGTAATATTTTGGTTAGCTATAGGGGCTGGGAGGTGAAAAGGGTTCCATGCAAATTTGGGGAGAGTTACGTATGTTTTTTGCTCAGTTGTCTGTCTGTACAGTTCAGACTTCACCTGGGAGCTCTTTGGTAGGTCTTTGAAAGTGCTGGTTACCATTTCTGTATTTTTTCTTCGTAATCTACAAATTCTTTGGTTTTGAATTGAAGTGATAGGAGAGTTAACATAAAATTATGTACCAGTATAATATGGAAGTACTTTTGAAATTGTAATTTACTGTGGAAACTCAATTTTCCATTATCATATAGGAAAGTATATCAAGTCCCAAGTTTTTCAGTCTCCATCTTAGATTGCTGTTAAGGCCAGGTGCCAGGAGAGAGCTGGATTGAAGACCATATCTGACATTAGTAATTTGATGTGTGACCCTGGGCAGTAAGTCCTGCTATGTGCCAGGCATTGTCCTAAGCTCAGGGGATAGAAAGGGAAAAGTGAAATCGGCTTTGCCCTCAAGGAGATTCTATTCTAATGGGGAAGATAACCTATATATAAATGAGTATTTACAGGACAGAATGAATCCAAGGTAGTTTAGGGAAGGAGGGCACTACCATTGAGGGCATGAGGAAAGACCTCATGTGGAAGGTGGCATTTCAGCATAACTTTGAAAGAAAGCAGGGCTTCCAGGAGGTGGAAGTGAGGAGGGAGAATATTTCAGGCCTGGGGAATAGCCAGTGCAAAAGCACCAGAAATGGAGGGCTCTTTGAGCAACAATCAGAAGGCCAGCTTGTCTTGGAGTAGAGGAGTGACATGGTTAGACCTGAGCTTTAGGAAAAGCACTTTGGTGGCTGTGTGGAAGATGGATTAGAGTGAGGAGAGACTTGAGGCAGGAAGACCAAAGAGGAGGTGAGAGGTGATGAGAACTTGACCTAGAGTGGTGAGAAGGGGAGGTTAGGCCACAGAGATGTGATAGGAACAAGATTTGGCAACTGATGGAATTACATAGGGTGAAGGAAAGAGGATTAGGTCCAATTCCCTTTTCAGTTTGGGCTCTATGTTGGATTATCTACATCAGAGTGGGAAATAGCTTTCATGAGCATACCTCTCCCACTTTTATTCCTTGCCCAATGTTTATTGTCCAGGAACCTTTAAATAGGGTTATTTTCTTTCGAGGAACCTTGAATAATTTTGTTGAAGGAATAAATGGTAAAACTTGATAAAACTTCCTTACTGGGAGGTGCTCTAAATGCTGGAGATAAAAATGCAGACAATCCTGCACTCAAGGAGTTTACATTCTCATGGGGGGAAACCAACCCATAAAGAGAGCTGAAAGCTGAGAGTGGGGTTTGAGTGTTCCTAGTTTAGAAATGGCCAGCAAGTGGCTGAACTGGTGTAGAGCCCAGCATCACAGCTCCAGAATACAAGGCTCTGGAAGGAGAATGAGGATGATGGCCAGTGCTGCAATGGCCTTGATTCAGATAGAGATCACTAGAAAGATGCTGTACACAAAAGGAGAGTTTTGCATAGAGATCATCTCATTGATAGTAATGTACTATCAATTGCCTTTTTTGGATATTAATAAGGTGTGAGATTTTTTTCTCATGTTTTGGCATCTTTTTCAGACACCTTGTATATATCACCACTCTCAAACTTGAGTCCTCTAGCATGGATCTCTTCTCTATTTACTTGGTCCAACTCTGATTGCTTTTCTCATCTTTGTTCTCTTTAGGGGCATTTCTATATCTTGGAGTTAAAAATGATTTTGATGGAGAAAACCTCTATTGATTTTTACCAAATTATGCAAATTAATGCTCCCATGAAATTTAAACAAATTTAATCAGAGCAAAATGGCATTATTTTCATATTTGAAAATAGATTCAAAATAAAGACTTTTCATTTTGGAAAGATGAAGTCTAAAGGGAGGAATGTGATATGTTCATTATTTGAGCAATATTGTGTGAACATGGATACATTCATCATTTTAGGAAATGCTAGATTTAAGGGCATTCCTGATCTTGAAAAAGGGTAAAGCTTTAAGATAAAAGGGAAAGATTTTACTGTGGATAAACTTACAAAACTTTCTACCCCAAGAAGTTATATAGGCTAAAGATAAAAATGTTCAAGAGTAATTTAAACAAATTAATTACTCATATATAGATGTTATAGAAAAAATAGGGTTAATTTAAAGGTCAACATTGAGGCTTGAGGTGATGCCCTGAAAGGGCAATCACCTCCCCAAATGGTTTTTTATTCTCAGAAATAAAGTACTGGGAAAATTATGTTTCCATGTATTTGTACCTAATAATTGCCTTCTTTTCTCTTTAAGGCTTTCCTTTTTCTGTCACCAGATGGACATTAACTGAAAGGATTTCAGCAGCACTGCAACAATTGGGATGTTGCGGCAGAACGGTGGGAGCAACAAGCATGGTTTATCTTTTGGCCGGTTCTCTCTATGTAATCTTTTCACTCTTCCTAATTCTGGAAACTGGAGAATGGGGCATTGTACCAAGAGCAACTCTTTGAGCAGCATCAATTCCAGCCCAAATTGCTGCAACAGCCCCATTATTGATCCAGAGTATGTGAAGCAGTTGGTCAATGATGTCAGGAGGTTTGCAGAGTTGTTGCTCTGCTTGAAAGAAGCTATCCTCTCGGAAGGTGTGTACCAGCTATTTTGTCTTAGCATCCTAGGAATAGAAAACCAGATCTGTATAACTAGTTATGCTTATGTATATCTAGGGCTGTTAGTAGCAGAATTTCGCTTCAGTTGCTGACTTTCTGGTGTATTACTATTTTTTTTAACATGATTGATGTTTATATGAAGTGGCCTCTTGTGACTTTTGGGTGCTGTCCTTCCTGACTCAAGCACAGTGTGTGATCTCTTTCCCAATTGGACCTAATATACCACATAGCTGATAGCTGGTAAGTCTAAGCAAGCTGGAAGAGAACAGTAGTCAGCCTTCAGATCTGCCAGTTTGAGACAGAGAAAATTTGAGGGCTTTGCAGTTTTACCTTTTTAAGTTAACTTCAATTCAATTCGTTGGTCTTTAGTAGAATGTTTTTATAACTCAGAAGCACATTATTGACATTTTAGCCTAGATTCAGTTTCCCATAGTGTTAAAAATTCTCCAAGATCATAAAAGTTGAATTACTTTCTTCTTCCCAAATTAGGCTTATTTCAGTCTAGGTCTTAACTCATCCATTGTTATATCAAGGTACAATCATAGGTTTCAATCTTTTACACAGAAGGATAAAAATGACTCAAGATTTAACTCAGGAAATTTGTCTTGGGGGAAAATTAATATTTTTCTGTGTTAAGGATTTTACAGGAAAAATTCATTCCCATTAGCAATCAGCAAACATTTATCAGATCCCTTGAATGTACTAAGTCACTGCTATGCAGTAGAAATACATAGATAAAATTGAAACCATTGCAGCTCTCAAAGGGGCTTACACTTCATTGGCAAAGGCACATGACCCAAAAAGTTTACAAATATAGATAACATAATTTTGAAGAAACAGCACTGCAAACTGGGGAATCAGGAAAAGCTTTAAGCAGAATGTGTTGTTTAGCAGAACATTGAAAGAAACAAGAGGTTCAGCAAGCCAGAGGTGAGGAAGGTGATTCTTCCAGGCATGCGGAGAGCCAGCTGAATGGCATGGGGATGGAATGTTGTATGTGAGGAACAGCAGGAAGGCCAGTTTGTTTGGACTGTAGAGTGTAGTAATGGGAAGGCTAGAAGGGAAAGGCAGGAGCTCAGTTGTACGTAGGGTTTTCAAAGACAAATGGGCATTTCCATCTCCTCCTATAGCAATAGGGAGCCACTGGAGTAGAGGAGTGACATGGTCAGATATGTACTTTAAGAAAATCATCTCAGCAGCCGTGTAGACAATGAATTGGAGTAAAAAAAAAAAAAAGACTTGAGGAAGGAGGCCATTTAGAAGGTCCTTAGGGACAGACCAGGTGAGAGATGTTGACGACCTGAATTAGGGAGGTGGGCATGAGAGGAGATGGAAGAGGATGGCTATGAGAGATTGTGGGATGAGAATGGACGAGATTTGGCAAATGATTGGATATGTGGGATGAGCAGAGTAAGGAGTTAAGGACAGTGCTGAGGTTGTGACTCTGAGAAAGATGGTAGCTTCAGCAGAAAGAGGGGTAGTTTTGTGAGGAAACAGAATGTGATATAGTGGATAGGATGGTGGACTTGAGTTCAGGAGAACTTGAGTTCAGCTCCAACCTCATATTCTTACTACCTATGTGACCCTGAGCATGCCACTTACCTTCCAGAGAGCAATTTCTTCATCTGTAAAATGAGGTTAAAATAATTTACTTCCAAGCTTTCTTTCAACTTAAAATCTATGATCCTGTGTTCCTATATATTCTATTTTGTGCCTTTTGAATTTGAGATGTCAACATGACATCTGTTTCAAAATGTCCAGTGTACAATTGGAGATGGGTGGCTGGAACTCAGGAGAGACTAGAACAGGATATAGAAATTTGGGACTTACCTACATTTGTTTTTGTTTTTCGTTCTTTTCAGTTGTGTCCAACTTTTCAGACAGGAAAACCTATTTGGGGTTTTCTTGACCAAGATACTGGAGTGGTTTGCCATTTCTTTCTCCAGCTCATTTTATAGATGAGGAAAGTGAGGCAAACAAGGTTGAGTGGCTTGCCCAGGGTCAACACAGCTAAGAAGTGGTTTAGGTTTGTTTTGAACTCGGGTCCTCCTGACTCCAGGCCTGGGGCTCTTTCTGGTATACCACCTAGCTGCCCAGTTATCTACACTGAGATGATAATTGAACCCTTAAGAACTAATCAAGTCAACAAGTGAGACATTGTAAAGAGAGAAGAATAGATGGCCCTGAATAGGGCCATGGGGTCACAGCCACACTTAGGGGTCATAAGGTGAGCCATTGAATCATTGTTGGTGACTGTGAAGGTACATTCAGAGAGGTAGGAGGATAACCAGGGCATGGCAGTGTCACTAATATCAGGAGGAAAGGGTGGTCAACAGCTTCTGATGCCGCAGAAGAGTCAGTAAGGATGAAGATGGAGGAAAGGCGGTCAGATGTGACAGTTAAGGCTGGATCTCTAACTGATAAACTACTCTTAGATTCTTGATTGGGTGATAAATCTGGGGGAGATGAGCCTCAGAGGAAGAAGCCTTGCTGAGTGATGGGGGCAAAGAGGAACCTTGAAGGAACAAGAAGTATTCCTCTGTCCAGAAGTAGTATGCCATGGAATTAGGACAAGGGTGGCCATGGATGCCGTTTTTTATGAGAGAAGCAGGATCTCTGAGAGTGCTGGAAAGAGGGAGGGGGAGGGATGGAGAAAGTGGGACTTCTGTCTGTTATCTCATTTTATGTGTAGATAGTAAATTCTCCTGAAATGAGGGACTGTAAATCTGAATCACATGATTAGCTTATGACTATTATCTGACTCTTAACTTACTCTTGCACTTTTTAATTCTTCTTATGCCCCTCGTTTAATGATGGTGAAAACTAAAACTAAAATAACATAAGCTTGATGACTAAAAACAAAAGCAGAGAGCTTGACTTTTAAGTAGTTTCTTTCTTTACTTTGCATGGTATGAGAGTAGAGTGAAGATCTCATAAGACCAAAGATTTAAAGCTGGAAGGGATCTTTAAAGGGCATGTCAACCAGCTCTTTCATTTTATGTATTAGTAGTTGTTGTTTGTCCTTCATTCTGGGAGAGGACCATGACATCAGAGAGGTGATGCCATGACATATATTAGTAAACTGAGGCCCAGAGATTCTGAGCGACTAGTCCGGAGTCACACAGTAACCAGCAGAGATGAAATTTGAACCCAGGTCCTCTGAATCCAAATCCAGTGTGTCTTCTACCACACTTTTAGAATGTTTACCAAAAAGTAATAAAAAAAACCAAACTACTTGAGGTAGAAAAAGTTCTTTATGGATGTGTATTGTTGATACAGACATTGATTCTTTGGAATAAATCATCTGTAGAGAAGTTTCTCTTTGCTGTGATGCTGTTGGAAAAGGAGTGCAAGATAGGTGTTAACATTACTATTTTTCCATTTATTATTGTGATTGACAAAATTGCAACATTGTTCATCATTTAATTTAGGAAATGTCATTGATTGGCAGAATCTCAGAAGTTAAGAGTTGTAAAGGGACCTTGAAAAGGCTTCTTGGCTAAGTCTCTTGTTTGAAAACCAAGAGACTTGAGGTGCAGCAGTATGCTACTAAGGGGCTCTCTTGTGACTCTCAAGCTCAGTAGAGATCCTAAGGTGGGGCATTGAATTTGACGCTTTGTCAGATTATTGTCCCTCTTTCTGTGGGAGACGGAGGTTAGCACAAGAATTATTCTTAGCTGAATTCAGCCGAATTTCAGGGTTGGGGTTTTTAATACTTTATTAACTTCCATATGAAGTAAAACTTACTTTTATCTAAGATATTACATTTTATTTATTTTTAATTGATTAATTTATTTTTAGTTTTCAGCATTCACTTTTAAAAGATTTTGAGTTCTAAATTTTTCCCCCTCCCCAAGATGGCTTGTAATCTGATATAGGCTATACATGTACAGTCATATTAAACATATTTCCACATTAGTCATGTTGTAAAGATAAGAGATTGCATTTTGGGCAGTATTCATCAAATGTGAGAAGAGGGTATGTGTAAGTTGGTTTAATTTTATATTTAGGACATATTCTATCCTTTGTTTCCTGCCTGCATCCTTTATCTTTAATCATTCATTTTACAAATAGAAAATGCTAGTAGTTTAAAAATTGTTAGTACACTTCTAATCACTAAAAAGTTTTTTTTAATGGTTTTAATTTTTTGACAGTTCAGAAAAATAGGATGGGAGAGGATAGCTGGATGGAAGTGGAGATAAAAATGGAATAAATAGAAGCTAGCAAGAGGAGACCATCCCAGGAGATAGAAGTATTGGAGTATAGAAACATGTTGAGTCACTGAAATTTAATTAAAAACCCTTAAAGGTAGGCCTTTTCTCTAAATCTTAACTACTTGATTGAACTTCCAAGAAGTAGGATTCCCTGATAAGTAGCCTGAAATTTCTGACAGGTAACTTTAGAAGAAATGAAAACTTCGTAACTAGTTATCAATGAAAACTTGTCTGGAGTTTAAGAACATAAAAACCACTAACTATTCCTGTTACTTTTGACTACTAAATATCGTTGTTTTTTGTTTTATTTTTTAATGCCTCTCCAAGAAAAATATGAAATGTATGCCTTTAAAGAATAATTCTCTTGGCACAACATGTGAATTAGTTTCAGGGCTGCCACATTCAGGACATCTTCTGAATGATGAGAAAAAAATTTTAATGTGAATTTGGTTTTAGCCTTGATTATAGTTTTCTATTTATGATGTCCTTCTGAACCCTTCCCTACCTCACATTATTATTGTGAGCATCAAATGAGATGATGACTGAAGTGCTTTGACAATTACAAGTAATATATAAATTTGATATCAACCTAGCATACAACCTTTTGATTTTGGGGAAATCATGTAGTAATGTGTGGTTTCATCTTAGATCTAATAGTGAAGTGGCTATCTTTGAATTGGGACCAAAAAGTAAGCATGAAAGGGTACTTTAATGTTTTCTTCTCCTGTCAGGGAGTAGAGAGCAGTGGAGTGTCCATTTCCT